TTGTGGTTCTGTGGGGAGAATGCGGGGGGGGGGGGGGGGGGGGGGGAAGAGAGAGAAAAACATGAAACATGTCATATTACCACATGACAACTCTCGACTACATTGGGTCTTACATTCTGAGTGCAGTAACAAGAACTTTAAGTGCTATTACCGAGAAGAAAAAATAAAACAAAAAAACCCTGGCAGGCATGGTAAGAGTACTCTAATGGTTAAGAGGTTATACAATGCAAACAATTATTTTGGTTTAATGCTTTACAGGCAGAATCTGAGACTTATCTTCTCCATAAAACTGAGTATACAGAATTGTGGCTGAACTTCAACTTTAGAATATAAGCTACTTTATGTAGTTCTATGCCATTTCACTTTGCATCAAGCCACACAATAGAGAAGACTCGTCAAGGACATTAAGAATGTAGCAGTAGAAGATAAAATACCTGTAAAATCAGATATTGGAAAAATTCTCCTAGATGAAAATAATTCATTTCTGTTTAACTAGAACACCCACACCAGCATAAGGGAGTACTTGATATTTCTTGACTAATGATTGGTACCTCAGGAAACACACAGCAGTATTGAGTGTTTTGTAGATACTTTTCAAATCAATTTGAGATACGAAGAATCTGGAGCATTGGGTCAGGGTCTTTATTATGATTATGATTATTATTATTATTGTCGGGGTTTTGTTCATTTGTTTTTAATACCGTATCAATACATTTGCCATTTCTGAATGCAAGTTTTAACCCCTAGATGCAGTCTTAAAATCTGAACTGATATTCAAATCTTCACACACCAGAAATCTCTAACCTCTAAGGCATATAGCAGGACATAAAGCAGAGGTAAAACTACACAATGGCTCAGTATATTCACATAAAAGAGCAACATGCCAATACAATATTTTTAAATTGCACAAGCTAAGTATTTCTTGTTTTCATAAAGGTTTTTATACAATTTTTACAGGAACATTAATGAAACAGACTGAATGATGAAATAGTCTGGATGCTTTAAATTAGGCAATGTTTTAAACCAAAATAATTCTGGAAAGAGACTTCCTGACTGCCCTTGAAGGACACAGTGTGTCTCAACTGCCTGCGAGACTGCCACTGACAGCAAAAGTGCAAGCTCACATTCCTCCTGCCTGTCCCCTCTGAGCTGCCCAATCTACCTCCTTCCCCCTTGCCTCATCAAAACTTAAGTAACTCATCAAAAAAGCAGAAAATGTTCTGCTTTAGGTAAGCCTGCAGAAGTGTCTGATAAGTGCCCAAACCAACACTGGGTAACTGGTAGGAGAGAAAGTGGAAGAAACTAAGACAACCTCTGTTTTTCATCACTGATGAACAGCTACCTCAGATGCAAGAGCCACATCTTCTGATTCATCCTGTTACTCTACCTAGCAGAATTCCAAGTCATTTCTTTCACCGGTCTTGAATCAGAAAAGAAAGTTTAAGGCAGCCATTCTGTACAAAGCATGTCAGTCTAAGGAAAGGAGGTAACTGCAAAGAGCAACATTTCTAGTCTTACCTGATATTATCAATCCAGCAGTCAATGATGACAGGCAGAAGCAATTCTAAATTCAGCCAGAGTGTAAAATAACTGTCTGTCTTCTTGGAGCATAGATAATGCACTACTGATGGCTTATCTAACTTTGCTTCCAGCTGATTACCTAAGTCCCCTGGAACTGAAAGATATAAAAACAAGACACTTAAAGTGTATAACATTTTACATTATAATATACACATCTTAATACTGTAGCCCTCATATGCTGTATCACTACATCCAAAGATACCATTAAGTTTTGTAACTGGATTAAAAAATGTTATGCAAGAACAAAGTACTGCATGCACATTTTCCACTGAAAATATTTGGATTTTCAAAAATCATCAGTGGGGAACCACCATGTAGAATAGCTCTGGATCAACAGTTCACATCTTCAAAAAGCAGACTGTATAAGAACAGGTCATGTTAGGCCATGGGTATGAAAAACAGATGGTCTTGGACATTATTAAAATCATCTGTGTTTTAAAGTGCAAACTGAATCTTTCTGGAAGATTTTTTTTCTTCAGAGTATTACAACTGCACATGCAACTCTTTCTGTTCTCTTTAAACAGTTGCTTGCAAACTATCAATTTGACATTAAAAAATGTCAAGTGAAAGCAGCTCCATTTATGTTTTTTATTTTTACTTCTTCACCTCCAACTGCACCTTTGCTACACAAGATTTAGTTAGCTAGCATAATAATCCAAATATATAGTTTCATATCTTTTACATTCATGTTTGGATGCAACAACAGTTTTGATCTTCACTTTTTTTTTGATACATTACATCAGTAATACTTGGAGGGAAGGGTCTTGTATTTGCACCTTCTCTGAAGTGCACAGTTCTTAAAGGCATATACCAAATACCAGTATTCCTTTGATGAAATTTTCTTTTCCTTTATTTATTTTAAGCACTAGATAGAGACAGGAATATTATTTCTAAATTAGAACTAAGCTCAAAAAAATGCTTTTACAATTTTCAACAGCAAATTTCCAGAGAAATTTCTTACATTATGTTTAATCTTTTTTTTCCCTCAACAACCAGAAAGGCAAAAGATACTTCAGTAACTGAAAAGTTTCTCTGAATTAGAAAAATGTAAGAGTTAAGCACTTCTTAAGGGTTCCCCCCACCCCTTTCAGCTCCACACCCTCCCACCTTTTCAGTGTGTGCATAACTTTATCCTATTCACTTGTCAATGTTTAATTTTGAAGTTTTTTAATGCAGGCCTACCCATACATTTGCTTTTCTTTTTTCCCTACTTCAGTAAATTATTTAATCAAAACAGTTTTTCTATAGAACTCTGATACTTAGCAATGGTTTAAAGAAAGAGATATTACCTTTTAGTGGAACACCTAATTTAACTGGAAAGCCAGATAGGCTTTCAGAGGAACACTGCAGAACTGAAAAAGGACAGAACCTCAAACTATAGACCTGGACAACCACACTCTTACAACCTTCAACCACTGCAGAAAAGATACACCTCAGGATTTCTTTATTAACTACCTCTACTTTCTCATTAGGTTAAAAGACCCAGTAGCTGACCACAGTTTATTTTAGGTCATATTTCAAGGACTCTGATATACTGGAAAGCATAGTAAGGGAGATTATAGTATTGCATCACACCCTAGAAAGAGTTTACTGAAGTTCAGTCTGGTAACCTCACAAAATGCTGTTTAGTTATTGCTTACAGAACTATAAGGCAACAGCTTGTTCCACAGTCTCGTGCCTGTGCTGTATCAGTGCTTTTAATTAGAAAAGGAACAGAGTGTAATTCTATTTATATCAATCATTCACAGCTGGCCAGTTGCAGCAGCAGACCTGCCAAGGACAGAACAGGTTGATTTTGTCATCAGTTTCAATGCAAAACAACGTAGAAGAGTGACATTCTGTTCTACCCTGGAATCTCATTTCCTTGTGTAAAAATCAAACTCTTCCAGCAAAGATACCTTTCAAAGACTTAGACAAACATCTGGAGTATCAGAGTTTTAAGAACTTGCTGAGTTTTCCAAACAGCACTCAAATAATCATAAGCACTCCTGCTCAGAGTAGGAAGACTCAGAACTGAAGAAGTTTCAGATTATAATCAAGATAAATGTATCAAAAAGAGTACTGAAAGCAGGAAAGCATACAAAGTCTCACTTGGACTTAATGGAATGATCTTAGATTAACTGCAAGTTTAATTTGGTTAAAAAATTTTATCTTCAAGAAGCTTGAGGATAGAGGATGTGCTCCTGTGTCCAATTCATAACAGATGAGAAACATTACATACTAATTTTTACTTAAGGGATGATAAGGAACAAGTTGGAAAGCAGTAATTTTATGTAATTCTAAACAAAAGATAAGGGGCAAGTTCCACCTGTGCCAAGATACAATACTGGAGTTAAAAAATAGTCTCAGGTACAGGCATGATGCCTGTTTGCTTATAAAGCAAGGATTAACAAAAAGGTTTTTTCAGGTTTACATTTCTATATTAACAGTGAAACTGCTAATCACTGTAATTCACAACTCATGTTTTATTTTCTAAAGTACATTCTGCAAGCTGAATAGGGTTCATGATGAAGCTGTAGGGAACAAAATGCAAATTTTGATTTTCACATTATGGAGAGAAATATGCAAGATCTTCAGTCCTCACCCCACACAATTTAACAGCGTTAATGATTTACATTTTGGCTGGAGAACTACTTAGTGTCTTTTTGATAAGTAACAAGTTAAAAATAGATCACATTGAAGATTAATTCTGTAGGATAAGGACAAACCTTTCTGAATTTTCTGTGATGGAATTTGAAAGCAGTAGGAAAAAACACATTTCCCTTTGCTTTCAGGCCATACACAGAAAGCATCTGTGGGCAGAGTAATCTGTAAGCAATTTTTCTCATCTTCTCATCTACCATTATCTGTAGTTTCTAAGCCTTTTTGCTGGAAACATTACAGAAAGTTCTTACTTTTTAAAGCCTGCAGACTGACCTCACAGATGTACAAAATAACTGGCAAGTTTAGTTCTGCAAAATACAATAGCACTAGTTAAAACTGGATGTCCAAGAAAAGATCTCAAGCAGTACCCTTGCCTCCCTAATTTGTAGTTGTGCAATACATGTATTGACTTCTGAACTGTGACATTTGGAAATATAATGAGATTTCATACACAGCAGAGTGTTTCCATCAGGTTTGATGATCTATTAGTTCTAGCATATTCTCATTTTTCACAAAGACATTAATCCCAACAGAATTCATTCTAATACAGCCATGAACCCAATTCACTTCCCATCTTATAGATGCTTTGCTTTTTGCTTTTCTTTTTTTTTCCAACTGCCCTGACAAAGCTAGTAGATCTCCTTCTGGGATGTGTTCTTGTTTGATTAAGCTTTATGGAAAGCACATTTAAAAATTTCATTTGAGAGTTTAAAAGATGTTACAGACTTTTCCTGGGAACTACAATAACTAGCTTTAGGATATATTTACACTCCTGCCTATCACTATCCTTAAGTCTTAATGACTGATTCACAGTTCCCAGCAGAAGACAATAAGCAACTTGCACCCTGGAAAGTGACTTGCCTTAATACTGCTCAGGAAGCAAAGAAAAAAGGACGTTCAACAAAAGCCATGAATAGGGGGATCTTAAGTTTCATTTGGGAAAAAAAAAAGAAAAAAAATTGTACCTATATAATGGGGGGGGGGGAATCTATTGTTTGTGTGGCAGAGAGGCCATCAACTGGTACTTTTTTACTACTTTGAAATGCAAATGCCTTTGGATATATATCAAATATTGTAACTTTTTAACTTGTAACTTTTTAATTTCCTCAAATAACTGTCATCTTTTTGGTTCTATAAATTAGCATGCCTTCAAAATGAACCAAGTTTTCTGGAAAATTAATTTGAAACTCTGACCACAGTTCTCTAAGGAGAATGTCTCAAAGTAGCTCATAGACTCCATGATAGACTGCCACAGAAAAGGCTTGTGTTTAAAATTAGGAACAAGAAAGCAAACAACATCTCACATGATACTTCTAGATACCTCAGATCACATGAGGCATAAACATTTAAATCACTCCTGACATCTAGCCAGCTGACTATACAAACACACACACACCTCAATTAACAGTCAGCAGGAATTCACAGACAAACCTCGTTTGCATGTAAATCAATTATTAACAAACTTCATTTAGGTGTCTTTCTAGAAAACTTTAGCCAAGTACCTAACAAATTGTTTGCAGAAGGTATCAGAACATTGATATAGTAATTGTGTTGAGTCAGCTCTAAAAGGTAAAGAGTTCAGTGAATCCACCACTGATCTTATAAGGACAGGTTATCAGCTCCCAAAATTGATAAGACATGAGATAGTATGCAGTGATTATCGATGGACTATGAGAAAATGAAGGAGGAAGAGCAACGACAAAATAAAGGAACTTCTTACTGCAAGCATTAGAAGACAAGAGTGTTGCATATATAACCAAACTGTTAAGTGCAAAAATATTATAATTGCATGTAAACATGAGGCAGATATCCAGAAGCACTTGTACAGAATATATATATATTTTAGTAGATATTGTCAGTAGAGCAGAGGTATTGAGTAGGTTATCCTTGTTCTTAAAGGAAATATTCCTGTGTGAATATATTGTCCTGGCTGACTAGTAAACTCTTAAAAAAAAAAGCATGAAAGCAATTCAGTATCTTAAGCAGTCCCCTTTTCCCCAAAAACAAGAGAATCACCTTATATTTTATGAGCATTGTATCTTTGATATCAAGCCTTCAGGCAGGACTCTGGAAGTAAAGTTTTGACTTTTACCTTGTGTTTCTTCTTCTCTAGAACCACTATTATATGAATACCCTTTGATGCTTTGTTATTTAAAGCTCAGGGAAAACTGAGCAATTGCATTGCAGTATTTTGCTGTCAGTTACTACCCATGTCAGTTTGGTCCCTGGTCTTGCTCCGTTGGTATGTACAAGCATGATCTTCAGGCATAGTAGCTTCTGCTACTACGGCACCATTTGATGATACACAGATCAGCTTAAAAAATAAGCTAATCCAAATGGGGTGCCACTCTCCACATTCCTTGTGCCAGCTCCTCCATTAAGATAATTCAACTACAAAATTAATCACTTCTTCCTCAACAGGTTAATTTTCTCATGCTATATCAAGACAAACAACTCCACAAGGTGGCCAATAAGCAGGCATAAGGAAAGCTGGGGGAGCACTAATGAGCTGTTAGATTGGCTTAGCTGTTTCACAGAACCACACTTCACCCGAGCCAGTTAGAGGGCTCTGCAAAACCGAGATCTGTTGCCACCACAACTACAGCCAATAGTTACAAGGTTGTATTCAAGCAGCTCATCTGCTTTCAGATTTTATATTCCTAGCAGCAGTATTTTGTTAGTACTTGGGGAGCAGAACAAAAGTTATCCATGTATGAGCAATGCCCCATATTTGCAAACTACTGCTCTACTTCCTCCACCGTTACTTGCATAAGCACAGGCTGCAACTGCAAGTGGGGTCATTACGTGAAAAATTTGAGAGCAAGTTACACTGCATCTTGTGACCATCAGTCTAAAACATTTATGAAGTGATCATTGTGTTGACAACATTCCTTTAAACACCATTCCTTCTTTCTTTGTTCCTTAAGATCGGATAGCCAGCTTGCCATGCACAGAATAAGACCAAACTTGTTAACTCCCCTTTCTACTTGAGTTTTACCTTCCAAGCGGACCAAAAGTGAATGCTTAGATCATAAGACCATATTTACTACAAGATAAAAAACATATTTAAAAACTGAACACATATCAGGAATTAGGGGTCTAGATGCCAACCAGATAAATCAGGAGGCTCAACGCTGTACCCCCTCTCTTGTATGGGCTCCAAAACCATCTCAGGCTTGTATAGGCCTGTATTATGTAGCCTTGCATACACCTCTCCATCTCCTTTTGCATTTGTGGTTCCAGCGCAATGTGTGTTTTTCTCCCCTCTCCCAAACACCTGTGTTAAGCCAGCACTTAGAATGCCTCCCTAAATGATTGTCCTAAACCCTTCTACCATCCTCATCGCAGTAATTCCTGAAAAGCTTATCTTGTCACATACGCAAGAAGGGTGAAGAAAAGGTCGTGAAAAGTTAACTAGAATCAAGATGAGAACATTTCATACAGAACCAGAGCGACCGACAGTCACTCCTTCCTCTCCTTTATTTGTTTGACCTTCACTGCCCATGTCATGTCTAATTGAAGCTAAGCTCTTAGTGCAGGTGTTTTTACAACGACAGTCATTTCTATACATCAAAAAACCATGGTATTTTACAATAGGCAGTTAGAGCACATCACTCCCTAAGAGCACCTACTTTCTCAAACATACAGACAACCCAAAACATTTGTTTATGTTAAAACCCATTGAATCTTCACTTTCTGGACAGGTCAGGACTGGGCAGCAAAACCAGCACATTTTAAAACGCAGACACCGACTAGAACAGTCAGAGATACAAGTTCTGTAGCATTTGATGAAAATCCACTGTAATAGCAAGAAAGTCTGTGTTTTAAAGCAATCATTGATGAATGTCTGCTCAGCCACGCAGTATTTACCAGAATGTCTCTTAGGAAAACAAAATGTAGGTCAGCCATGTTTTTTAAAAGCATCCTTAAGGAACATACATACTTACAGTAGATCCATCAGTAGTAACTCCATGCTTCTATAATCAGTATCCCTTTATCCCAATTGCTTTTAAGTCTTCTTCGATTCCTTCATAGCTAGAATTGAATATTGGATCAGCAACTAAAACACTATCACCTTTATCATCAAGAAGCCTGCACTGGAGTAAGCGCCAAAGTTTATTGCTAAAACCCAGCATTACAGAGTGGAAAGATGGGATAAAAGATTGCTTCTAACCTTCACAGACAGAACTCCAATAATTTCTGTTCACATTTTAACTCCAGCCTCTTAGCACATCCTTTTACAGTTTCTACTTCTAAATCTACATCCTCTCAGTTAGTTCAGCCATCTATTAAGAACTGTGAATTTGTACATGGTGGTCCCGAGATACACAGCATCTCTAAAAAAGTTCTTGCTTAGTGTTTACCCTTTTATGTCAGAAGTTTGTAACAGTAGTAATAAAGTCAACAACAGAGCCTAAATTATTATAAATAAATGGAGCTTAAACTGAACAACATTCCACTGATTATCCTTTTCCCATTTTCTTGATCTTTCTTCCCCCTTTACCATCAAGGTTAATTGTGTAATAAGAACATACAGCATACTGAATACATTCACAGGACTGACTACTGACATATCACCAAATGCACTTAATTAATATATTGGAATGCTTAAGAATTACAATTTCAGCAGACAAGTTATTAAAACATTTAAAATTTATTTATGATTCTTCTTATCAATGGATACAAAAAGCATCTAACAAATACTACTTAATACCTATTATAGGAATACTTTCTACACATTTGTTACAAATGGGTTCGTGTTAACAGGTGAAACCACAGGCCAGTAATCGATATTCTTTTTCTACCTTGTGCGATGAAATAAGCCTATTATTTTTTAAATGCTTGTAGTTGGGCTGCTGTAACACCCAGTCACTTCTCTTCCCACATCCGACTCCAACCCCTTTTAGGAAAGGCTCATACGGAGTAAAAACTTGGGAAACGAGGGCCTGCTTTTAGTTAAGGAGCTAAAAACGTATTTAAGCGAGCCCCATTCTTCCCACGCCCACTGACAAGCAAAGGCACCCTAACGTTTTCGGCACGTCCGTGTCCCGTCCCGTCCCCGCCACGGGGCGGGATGCGATGCGATGGGATGCGAGGTGGGGTGAGGTGCCGCCCCCCCTACCCGGGCCTGTGTTTTTCGCTTTTGCGGCCGGGCCAGGGACGGGCCTGCCAGCGCCGGGGCAGACTCACGGAGAAGACGCTCCGCACGCCCCGCCCCGGTGCCCGCAGCGACCGGGGCGCCTACAAAGCGGGGTCGCCGAGCGAAACACCCCGGAGACCCCCGGGCAGCGGCGGCCGGG